TTTTAATTTTCACTCGCGGAAGTTAATTAACCATTTGCGTTGTAACGGCGAGTCTGACTCGTGGCACAGATTTTGGGCAAAATGTGACGAAAATAGTTACATTGATCCTCCATAGGCAAACATGTTTTTTCACACTCTTAATGTTTTGAGATTTCAGTTTTTAAAAAGTCTGTAAAAATTCTGGTGTGGTTATTGAAGTTTCTGTTATATTATACGACTAATTGTTCGTTAAGTCGAGTGTTTAAACTTTTTTTAAATAAAAGTTAAATATTCGTTTCGAAGAAATTTCACTCGGCAAAAATTAATTTTAATTCTGACTTTCGTTTTTATTTCCAAAACTGAGGAATGGTAATTATTTATTTACTACCTTCTCTGTGGAAATGATACAATGCTAAATAAACGCTCCCATTTATTCGGTCGGTATTTTTTTAAATTAATGGTAAATATTTTTTTAAATAATCAGTAAACGTGAATATGTTGGTCAGTATAAATAATTAATTGCCAGTATTAATTTGTTTTTTGGTCAATAAAATTTAAATTTCTGGTTAAGTTAGGATGCTTCATTCTACACACCGACTATCTATTTAAAATACTGACAAATTATTGTGTTTACTGATATTTGATTGAAAATACTGACCACTTATGTTACATACTGATATTTTATTTTAAATACTAACCATTGTTTAAAAATACCAACCCAGTAAATAGCAGCCCTAAATAAATCCCAAACGAGAATGAACAAAATTTTCCCAATTCCACCCGAGCAATTAAAATAAAATTAACCTCACAATCGCCTTAAAAATAATTTTCCTTCCGTTCCTCCTTTAAATACCGTTGTTCTTGCTAATTCTTTTCTCAGCAAGAAATAACGGCGATGCTTTGTTCGGGCAATTTCGTCGATCGACCATATCCCTCGACAGAGCATTAGCATCGTGAGAAAAAGTTTTCGCGATTGCTTAATAATGAGCCGAAGCGTTGACCAGAGGCTCTGTTTTCTCTCTCTCTCGAAAGCTTTTCGGAAAGTTTTAATTGCCCGCGCCCCTGGTTTGCCCCGTTTGTTACTTTGCGCCACGTCGATGAGGTTGCCGATCAATCGAACACCGATTCCTCCTTTGAATAAACCTTCCATCAACTTTTCGTTCTCCTTGCCCCGTTTCTTTGAGTTGCATTCTCGGTTAAATAACTTGACTTCCAATCCGAGAAAAATTTCAACGCGGTCTACCTTCGTTCCTGGGATTCCTAGGGGCTGTTGCACCCTGCAGGAATCTGTGTTATCAATTTTTTCCTGTGCTCTATTCGAAAACCTCGTGATATTGAAAAATGGTAAATATGATATTCGATGGATAATGTTAAATATGATATTAATATGTGGAATTACTGTTTCAAAAAGGGTTTATGTGGTATGAAGGACGATATAAGACGTTGAGATTTTTAATATTTTTTTTATTATTATTATCAGTGACTTGGCAATTTTAATTTTATTAATTTAAATACAGTGTGGTAATGTGTATATTTTTTCTTTTCGATATTTTTAGCGAAATGATAGTATTTTCTACTTGAAACACTTTATAAATGTTTTCTTCGTGCAATAACGTGTGTGTGATCAAGGTGGAAGGTGACGATAAAATTTATTTGACGTACGCGTCAGAATGTTGCGTGGAAAATTTAACGATATGAATCAGGAACATTTCGTGTTAAAATGTGTAACATATTTGCATTGAAAAGTGTTTAATAATTCACCTTAAATAATGTTTTCAATGCTTGTTCATTTCATTTTGCGACAGCAGTGACAATCTCGATATTTAGCATAGAATTTGTCGAAGTAAAACGTTGCAAAATAAATATCAAAACAATTGAAAAACTAAATATTAAATTACCTTGAAATTATGTAATCTTCTTAAAATAATTAACTTTGTGCTTCCGCTAGTTAAAAAATGTGAATTTAAACGATCACTAATGAAATTTAATTATAAGTTCAAATTGTTATAAGTTCAAATACCTAATTATTTTCAATAAAATGAATTGAAGATCAGATGAATTCAATTACCACAGATATCAGCATGTAAATGTTCATTTGCAGAGAATGCAATTCGGCATAATATTTTAAATGAAATTCAGCAAACAGTCTTTTTGCAAATGATAATATTATCGAATTACACGAGACGGGGATAGTTATTTCCCTAAGTAATTGTCCCCGAATGAGCAATATTATCAAACGAACGTTCATATATACGCATTAGCATGCAATTGTTTTCACGTGCAAACAAATCAGTGGCAATTATTAATTCCCTCCCACGTGAATATGTGGAAAGCAGGGTCCCATAAGGATTTCCATGTGAAATACGATATCATGCCGCAGCACACACGGAAATTATAATGAATATATATGTAGGATGTTTAGTGTCCTCGTCAAGATGAATTTGCGTTCGCAATATCAGTATACTAACTTTGTAAATGTTGTTTCCAAACGAGAAATATAATTTCCAATTAAGAATTGCATTTGCGGTATAATCTCCTTTATTTCACTATTCTTCTTTTTTACACACTGAAAATGTATATTGTATAGGACGGTAACAAGTGAATCAAAAATCTTGATATATCTTTGTCTATCAAAATTTAACCCTTTCACTGCTGCAGACTATAGTTCAATCGTGGTCGCAAAAACTGTCATTTTGGTATGTTAAAATTTTGAAGAAAGTGTAAAATTAATATTAAAAATTTATCGCTTTGGCATTATAAAATTTTTTAAAAATTTCAAAATCAAAATTAAGAATTTATCGTTCTTAAGTTTCTTTTATTAAATTAAGGCGGGAGTGCGCAAAGGACAAAAATGAAGGATTAAATCAGGATAGGCGTGCGCGAAGGACAAAAATTAAGGTAAAAGTGTGCCAAAAGACAAAAATTAAGGATTAAATTAAGGCGGGAGTGCGCGAAGGACAAAAATTAGGGATTAAATCAAGGTCGGAGTGCGCAGAGGATAAAAATTAGGGATTAAATCACGATGGGAGTGCGCAGAGGATAATTTACCGCTTTAAAAATCTAATTAAATTAGAATGGAAGTGTGCAAAGGGCAAAAATTAAGGATTAAATTGAGATGAAGGGTGCAGCGCGAAAAAATATTCAAAACGCCTATAGGCGCGCCAAGGGCAGTGTGAGAACATTTCCGCAGCGCCTATAGGCGCGCCAAGGACGCAGCCTGAGTAAATTTCCAAAGCAACTCATGCGGGCTTAATGGAAAAAAGCGAAAAAAGGGTTAAAAGAGCAGTGAATTTTCCACAAGAAATCATTAATCTTTATATCTCCTCTGTCGTTGCACACAATAAATATACCTTTCCAAAACAAATTAACATAACCACTAAAATTCTGTCACAAAAGTAAACTTTCATTCAAAACAGTCAAAATTAACATATATTTCATTCTAACCAAAAAATACCACTTCACAGTCTACCGATCCACTGTATTAAACCCTCTGTGTTACCTAAAACCATCTTTCCATCTCTGGTATAGAACTCATAGACCCGTTATTATTCCAAGCTAGCCGCCCAAGGGAGACGAGTTGGTCCATTCGACGCGATCCATCCACGGGATTCGTTGAAATAAAATCCGATTTGCATCGGTGTTTTCCCGGGGAGCTGTCGGGAAAATTCGATCAGGACAGGGCAGAGAGCCGCGTTGTCAAACCGCGGCGCGCGTTACGCGTGGTTCACGCGGCGTGAAACGAACGCGGCGGGATTTAAAGCTGGCCGTCGCGCGTCGTTCGAAACGTCAATGGACAGCTGCCACCCGTACCTCCGTGTAATTAGATGACGCGGCTCGGCTGCGTTTGTCACTGTCAAAAAGCCGGCAGAACTGTTGATCCCCGGGAATTTATCGTTCGAAGGCTAATTGCTCGATGCTCTCCCGCTCGCGGCTTGTTTCGCGAGTAACGCACTCCTGTGGAATGACTTTTTTCCACGAGGATATCGTTGTTGTTCCGTACCACCGGAGTGCCGATAGCTGTTTGTCGCGGATGAATCTTTTCTCGGCTGGAGAGCGATTGTCGGTTTCGAGGTTGATTTCACGCGTTTCTAGATAAGATTCGGTCGGTTTAACCCTTCGACTTGTGATCTTTCTTCTGACTGCGCATCTGAGCGTCAACTGTTTACTGTTTCAGCACTGTGTCGGGTAACAAAAGCTGATCTATTACAGATTGATAATATATAGAATAGTAATTCTCAGTCTTGCAAATTGAAACGAAAGTTAGGATTAATAGTAGTGTTTATAATAGTAATCGTTAGAATTACAAATTGAAACGAAAGTTGGGATTAAAATGAATTTCTCTTGCTGTTATAAATTTTGTCACATCTTGACCAAAATCTCTGTCACCAGGCTAACTCGTAACTGAAAGGGCTGGGGAAGGGTAAGGGAAAGAAACGCTAGCTCTTTTTGAGTGTTTTCAATTTTAATGTGCGAATACATGTTTTAGAAAATATATAAGTGTTATTCTGTGTGATGGTCGGGACAGAAGTGATTCTTTTCCTATTTTTTAACCCTTCGTAAACAAACTTGGTTGTTTATGTCCAAGTTTATGTTTATGTTCTGGGCTTGGAAAAAATCTGAAAAAATTGTGGGTAACTTGTGAAAGTCTCTGCTACATCGTGCAATTGTTCGTTAACTGAGAAAATTCATTTGGAGGAGATACGGTACAGATTTAATTAACAGAATTTAACAAGTGATTTCTCAAAAGCAACACTTTCAGCAGCACTTGTTTGCAAGCTAAAAATTCATCGATCACTGGAAATTTCTAAAAATTGAAATCCGATTGGAAAGCTTCGCATTCCCGAAAATAACCCGGAAAAATTCTTCCACGCCCGTAAACGAGTGTCATCCCAGCCCCTGTTTTACCGTTCAGTCTTGCCGGTACGATTCACTCGTCGACAATGACCGGATCAAATTGGTCGTAACTAAATTCGAAATCAATCATCCTGATTTCAGCTTGTCCGGAATCTCGGCCAGAATGGATGGAGCTGAGCGGCGGTGGTTCTGTGTGTTATGCCCCGTCACGTTTGGGTAAACTCGTGCTGCGTATCACTGGATTTCCGAGGGTCACTCAGCAGTGTCATCAGAGTCAACAACAAGAAGACAGTCACCATGGCGAGACGAGACACTTATACCTCGGCTTTCACCACCCCTGGGACAGGGACTTGTGGAAAAGTTGGATTAAACAGGTAAGTCAAACACCGGGACCATTCCAGTTACAATAGGGAAACTTCGTTTCTATGATGATCACGCTCTCGGGTTTGCAATTCTTCCTTTTCTTTTTTGTTTGTTCGTTCTATAGAAAAATTGTGTCTATTGAAACGGAGGAAGGGAAAGTGGATAGCAGTGTCTTCTTTGAAATTTTGTAGAGTTTGTAAATCGTGGATTGTTGGGATGATTCTTTTAATTGGGGAATGTTGGTAGTCTGCCTTTTTCATTGTGTTTTGAGTATGAAATGGTTAGGTGTATGAATAGAATAAGAAAAAAGAGGTTTTTCTACTAAGGTTTATTAAGAGTTAAATTAAGAAAATATTGAAAATTTAAATAAAGAAAT